CTCAGATCCTGATCCCCCAGGTCCTGGGATTCAGCCCACGCATTGGACTCTCTGCTCAGCGGGGAGCCTGCTTCCCCCTCTCTCTCTCTCCCTGCCTCTCTGCCTACTTGTGAGCTCTGTCTGTCAAATAAATAAGATATTTCAAGAAAAATATATTGAAAAGATAGAATATAATGGTAATGATGAAAATTTTTAAAAGATTTTAACGAGAAAAAAATATGCTCAGACAGGTGATGAGAACATAGTAATACACTAGATTCTGGGTGTATTTTGGTCTATTTGTGGGTAAGAAAGTCCATCAATTTATTCCTTTATGGTAACTACTTTTGGGGTCCTGCTTAGGGTAGTCCATGGTTTTATATTTATGTTCTTTTTTTTTTTTTAAGAGAGGGAGAAAGGTGGGGGAGGGGCACAGAGAGAGAGAGAGAGAGAGAGAGAGAGAATCCTAAGCAGGCTTTACGCCCAGCGTGGAGCCTGATGTGGGGCTCAGTCTTAGAACCTGAGATCATGGCTGGAGCTGAAATCAAGAGTTGTTTAACTGGCAGAGTCACCTAGGTGCCCCTATCTATATTCACTTATAATTGCACATCATAATGGGTAAGAGCACAGACTCTAGTGATAAACTCATTGGATTTGAATTTGGTTCAACTGTGACCTTAGGCCAGGGTACTTAGCCTCTATGTCACAGATTCTTTATTTGTAAAATAGTGGTAAAAGTATATCATGGGGCTGTTATAGGGATTTAAACAGAATTTTGTCTGAAACATAGTAAGTAAGTAAGTGTAAAAATTATATAGTATTTTCTTTGAATTTTTATGCTTTATTTTTCTACATTTCACTTTATTTCCGTTACTTGGTTTAAAGTAGGGATCTAACTTGATTATTTTTTAAATGATTAGCATATCAAGACACTATAAAGTAATCCACCCATATCTCCCTCTCTTGAATTGTCATATTTATCCAATAATTAGGATCATCCCATTGATCTGTTTTTTTGCTGGAACTAAGAAATGGATCTCTAGCTTTAAACTCTGACCTAGGTTTGCGTCCTGGCTCTGTTGTGTCACCTTGAGGATATTACTTAATCACTTCTTAAACTTTAGATTTCTCAACTGAAAAATAGAAATAATACTTATCTTAATAGATTTTTGAGGGTATTATATGAGAGTAGTGTGTTACGCGTCTGGAATATAATAGCTTTTCAATAAATGTTAGTTTCCTTTCTACTTTAATAAAAGTTTGGAGAAAGGAGATAGCTGGTATGACCTATAATTACTCTTAAGTGTTCTGTTACTTTGGAAGAACTGGATAGTTGAGATTTAATTACTCTTTAGATCTAGGAACTAAGACGCCAAAGATATGTAAAATAGATAAGGTAACAATATCTCTGCCCCCTCCAGGTACAGTATATTAACTGAGAGATACAATAGAATATATCAAAGTTTCTCAGCCATGGTACTACTGACATTTTGAGCTGGGTAATTCTTTATTGTAGGGGGCTGTTCCCTAATTATGACAACTAAAAATGTTTCCAGACATCACCTGATGTGATGAGCTAAGTTGTCCCTGGTTGACAACCACTACAATATATGAACATAGTGCTGAAGACTACTAGGGAGGAAGTGATAAACTATTTGGCAGAATTGGGAAAACCTTTTGAGAAATAGGTAATTTTTTTTTCTTTTTTTCCAGCTTACCTTATTTTAAGAATACAGTATATAATACATATAACATACAACATTTATATTTTTATTTTTTATTAACATATAATGTATTATTTGCCCCAGGGGTACAGGTCTATGAATCGTCAGGCTTACATACTTCACAGCACTCACCATAGCACATACCCTCCCCAATGTCCATACAACATTTATTTTTAAAGATTTTATTTATTTATTTGACAGACAAGAGATCACAAGTAGGCAGAGAGGCAGGCAGAGAGGGGGGGCAAGCAGGCTCCCACTGAGCAGAGCCCGGCGCGGGGCTTGATCCCAGGACCCTGGGACCATGACCCGAGCCGAAGGCAGAGGCTTAACCCACTGAGCCACCCAGGCGCTCCTCCATACAACATTTTTAAAATTAAATTTATTTTTTTTAAAGGAAGCTCTGTGCCCAGCATGCCCAGAACTCACAACCCTGAGTCACGTGCTCTATCAAGATCCAGCCAGGTGCCCCAAATTTACTTATTTTTATTTGAGTATAGTTGAGAGAAGTAGGTCATTTAAAAAAATGATTAATTATGCCTTTTTTATTTTTTAGAGATTTTATTTATGAGAGAGAGAGAGCAAGAGAGAGCATAAATAGGTAGGAGGGGCAGAGGGAGAAGTAGACTCGCTGCTGAGCAGGGAGCCTGACACAGGCCTTGATTCCAGGACCCTGGGATCATGACCTGAGCCAAAGGCAGACGCTTAACCGACTAAGCCACCCAGGCGCCCTAATTGTGCCCTTTTTTTATTTCATACTCTCCTTTCCTCTTATTTGAGTTCATTATAAGGTGACTTATCCATTTTTTTTTAAAGATTGTATTCATTTACTTGACAGAGAGAGAGATCACAAGTAGGCAGAGAGGGGGACGCAGGCTCCCTGCTGAGCAGAGAGCCCGACCTGGGGCTTGATCCCAGGAGCCTGAGACCAGGGCCTGAGCCAAAGGCAGAGGCTTAACCCACTGAGCCACCCAGGCGCCCCATGACTTATCCATTTATTAATCGCCTCCTATAATCCAGGTACTCTGGGTGCTGGGGCTATAGCAGTGAATAAAACTGTTTTGTAGCGCCTACATTCTTCGGGTGTAGGACCAGACAGGATTTGCTAATGACTTCGGTGTGAAATGTGAGTGAAAATGAGGAGTTGGGATCATTCCAGAATTTTCCAAAGAGTTGGGTAAATTATAGTGCAATTTACTGGTTGAGGTCAAGAAGTTGTATTGGTATGAAGCTGGGGGGCATGAGAGTCCTGTTTTGAACTTGGTTGGGTTTGAGATGACCACTGTAAAGCTAGCAGTTGAATAGGTAGCACCTGAGTCAGGAAAGAGGTTGAGCTATGTTGCTTTAAGGATTAAATCTACTTCAGTGTGAGTAGGGAAGTGTTTAAATGTCTTGTTTCTGGGGCCCTGCAAATGGGGACAGTAGTTGCTCTTACTGATATGGGTCAGATGGCTTTACTCACCTATCTAATGTTGTTAAGGTACTTCATTCTTATTACCAGACTACTGTCCTTTGGTGTTTGTTGAGTTAGTTACCATGTATGTAGTCTGTGGCTGTGTTAAGAAAGTGCTGGACAGGGGCTCCTGGCTGGGCTCAGTTGGCAGAGCACACAACTCTTGATCTTGGGGTTGTAAGTTTGAGCCCTGCATTGTGTGTGAGATTACTTAAAAATAAAATCTTTCCCCCCCCCAAAAATAGTGCTGGACATTGTTCAACTTGTCATGTAGTTAGGGAGCCAGACAGAATTGAAAAGTTAATTGATGATTCAGGCTTAAGGCAGGATAGTAGCGGTAGTTTGGAGAAGAAAGATCTGAGAGTTGGGTACTCCAGTACTAGAATGTGAAGGCAGCACTATGTCATATTTACATCCGTGTCTCCAGTATCCAGCAATGGGAAGCTAGGAGCAGAATGGGATTATTATGAAAATCAAATGATAGAATGTATTTGAAAATGTTTTATAAATGATAAAATATTATATAAAGGTTAGTTATTGTCATAATCCTTAAAACTAAAGGATTCACAATTAAGTTAATAGCACTTTTATTCTGGGACACGTGGGTGGCTCAATTGCTTAAATATCTGACTCTAGGTTACAGCTCAGGTCATGATCTCAGGGTGGTGAGATCAGGCTCCATGCTCAGCAGGGAGTCTGCTTGAGGAGTCTCTCTTCCATACTGTCTCACATGAATGTGCTCTCTCTCTCTCTCTTTCTAAAAAATAAATAAATAAATAAATAAATATTTTTTAAAAAAAAGACAGTACTTCTATTCTGAGGAGTCAAGGTAAAGAAGAAAAAGTCTTAGAAGGTATTAGAGGTGACAGATATATCCCTTTAGTTCTTGCCGAATTTACTCATGATGACTCAACTGGCTTAGAACAAAGAAAAATGGAAGATTGGGTAATTAAAGCCTACCCTACTTTTCCCTTAATAATTTAGGTCTTATGGGAATCCAGGAATATGTCTGGGATTATACATCTCAGTCCTACATTTCTGGAATATTTGCAGCTGGGTGTTTTTTAATAAAAAGTATATGTATGTATGCATGTGTATGATCATTGCTTATGTATGAAGTGATTGCTAATGTTGAAACTGCATAAAGGGATCAGAATTTTTTGTTACTTATTCTGAAATACACATATACGCACAATTAGGATTTTATAGAGGGAACGTGAAGAAGTAAATTGGAAGCATCTTTGCTTTTTCTTGAATCCATCTGGTATATTTTAGTTGACTGTCTTTTGTGTACGTGGATTCCTAAGAATGAGGTATCTTAATTTTAAAATAGTAAAAGAGAGGTGCCTGGGTGGCTCAGTCGGTTAAGTGTCTGCCTTTGGCTTGGGCTGTGATCCCAGGGTCATGGGATTGAGTCCCACAGTGGGTTCCCTGCTCCACCACGGAGCTTCTACCTCTCCCTCTGCTGCCCCCCCTGCTTGTATTCTCTCTCTCTTTGTCAAATAAATAAGTAAAATCTTAAAAAAAAAATTTAAAAATAGCAAAAGATGGAAACGATGGAAGTGATATGGGGATAGTAAAAACTTTATAGTTGAAGCAGAAGGCTGTAGATGATTACAAGAACATCTTTTTGTTTTGAGAAATGAAAGATGTTGGCGCTAGCCTTGTTAGGAGATAGGTGATGACATCTCAGTCTTCACATGAAAACACTTGTCCTTTGTGCTGGGAAGCGTAGGCCTGAAGAGGTCTTGGAAGAGTGTGAAACAGGAGTAATCTTTAACATATTTCAGGGAAAGAAGAGCATTTCATTATTTATAACACCAGTTATTTTGTCTTTTGAACAGATAACATGCCTGGACATTTCCAGTGGAGGCGGTCTTGGCGTGTCTTCTAGTACTGATGGGAGCATGAAGATCTGGCAGGCTTCTAATGGCGAGCTCAGAGTAAAGGCTTTGGTTATGCTTTTAGGGTCTTGTACATGAAGGGTGGTTGGAGAAGCCTTAGACTGGGTCACAGAAAGTGGAGTGGTGCATTCTAAATTTATAGGACCACCGCACTTCAACTGATCTTTGTTCTCCCATTTGTTAATCTGAGAACCATCCTCAATCTTGGTGATTTGCCAGAACAGATTGGGCCTGGAACAGTGGAGAAGCCAGGCTAGTGAATGTCTAGGTGGGTGGTCCCTTGGTATGAACTGCCTTCAGTGATCAGCTTCTAAGCCAGATGAGCTAGGCTATTACATGGATTATATGGCCAAACTCCTCCACCTTATGCAGAGAATTTTAAGAAGAGGTGAGTAAAAGTGTCCTCAAGCCCCCTCAGCTCCTTATATGTAGAACTAGACTTAAGGATCGCTGGGAGAACCTTGGAGTTCAAATCCATTATATCTGTAGCCAGAGCTACAGGAAAGGGAGTCAGTAGCTCTTAAAACACTGCCTGGTATACAAATGAGCTAAAGAGATCCTTTTGAACCTCACTAGTTTTAAAAACCAGCATGTAGGCATAGCTTGTAGATATTTCATTTAAAGGACCAAGGATATGACAGGTAAGAGAGTATCAGGGAATGGACAAGAGAACTAGCATGGAATTTTCTTTTGTTTTTCCAGAGAGTATTGGAAGGACATGTATTTGATGTGAATTGTTGCAGGTTTTTCCCATCAGGCCTTGTGGTTCTGAGTGGGGGAATGGATGCCCAGCTGAAGATCTGGTCAGCTGAAGATGCTAGCTGTGTGGTGACCTTCAAAGGTCACAAAGGAGGTATGAAGGGTGATTTCTCCAAAAGGCTTCTGAAATGATTCCCCAGAGACAAATCACCAAAAAGGTGGAAAAGGTTGAAACAGAAGCTAGTTTTCTAGAAAAACACGAATAATTCCTCTAACTGGCCATTTAAATGAGCTGTTTCCTCAAGGATTAGAAATTCCTTTGACACTGAGTCTTGTTATTGCTCTCCAGAACTAATTGACTTACACAGATAGTTGTTTTCTACAATTGACAAGTGAAAAAAAATCCTCCCCAGGAGGTTATCTGCTGTGTGCTAGGAGAGAGAGAGAGAGAGAGAGAGAGAGATGTGTGCCAACATTTTCTCATTATTAGTCCTTTGAGGTGACAGTAAAAGCTGGGTGGCAAATGGCTGCGTCACTAGATATCAAAGATAGAGCTTGACACTGACTATCAGTTCCTATGAATTTAAGTCACAGTTCAGATTTTAGGAATGGATTAGCCGTATAGCCAGTTGATAACAGGTCATAGAGACAGAATGAGAACATTTTCCCTTTGTAACTGGTTTATGGGACAAAATTATAATTTAGCAATGTTTTGTCGTTAACTGGAATGTTAAAAAGGTGATAAATGTTATTCTTATTTTACAAGTTTAGGTATTTTTTAAAAAGTATTAACATCCCCAATAATTCTTTACCTTGTTCCCTTCTTTGGAACCATAGTACACATCATCTGTGTGACTCATTTGAGAATTAATTATGTATTGCCCTATACTTAACGTATTTAAGCTAGTCTTTTGATTGTACCTGACGACATTATAAATAACTTGTATGGTTGAGTTTAAGTTTTGTTATTTCTTTATAATGATTTGTTAGGTTACATATAGATCATCTAGCAAATACCTGTTAACCTTAGCAAGGTTATTTCTAAGACTGTCAGTACATAGGTACATTGAGGAGGAATAGAAAAGATACCTGGAGCCTTCTTCACATTCAGCCTGAAGAACTGGTCTAAGGAATCTAAGGAGTCTGAGGAGTCAAAGCGGCCTGCACAGATAGGGAGTCCAGGACCCAGGAGCCAGACAGGTTGACTAGAAGTGATAAACTGTAGGAGAAGTGATGTGAAGTCAGATCCAGACTAATGTTTGTGAGGTCTTGAATGCGCTTCCCTAGGTAGTTCTGTTAAGCGGGACCAGATTTGTTGTTGCCCATTCTTCCACAGTACAGAAAATCAAAATTAATCAAAATTAATCTCTGATAGTTTAGCAGCATGTGCGTCACTCTCTCCAGCTAAATGAATTCCAAGTTCCATTGTATGGCTCCCTTTTTAATCTTTAATCTCTTTACTTACAAGATTTTAAATATTTTAAAGAATGTTTATTAGCAAAGGCCATGAACTATATAAAAAACAGAATAAAGAATTATTACCTGGGGGCGCCTGGGTGGCTCAGTGGGTTAAGCCTCTGCCTTCGGCTCAGGTCATGATCTCAGGGTCCTGGGATCGAGCCCCACATCGGGCTTTCTGCTCAGCGGGGAGCCTGCTTTCCCCCCTCTCTTCTCTGCCTGCCTCTCTGCCTACATGTGATCTCTGTCAAATAAATAAATAAAATCTTTTAAAAAATTAAAAAAAAAAGAATTATTACCTGCATGTATGATCTTTAGTGGTTTCACAAGTGGTGACTAAATAAGAGAAACAGAAGATAGTGAGTTTTGGGCAACCCTCTGTGATCCCTTCCCTTCTCAGGAGCTTTATACGATCAGTTTGCTATCACTCAATAAACCTTGGTTTGCTGCCCCCACCAGTCAAAAAGAAGATAGTGAGTGTTGAAAGTGAACATGGTCTTTTATTGCCTAGGTTAAGTCTTGGCAAGTGAGACATAAATCACCAGGAACACTGGACTGAGCATAGCCTGATGCTTATTGCAAAGAACCATTAGGACGCTAACAAAGTAGCTCTGTATAAAGATCTTGTGTAAGGATAGGGGCACCTGGGTGGCTCAGTGGGTTAAGCCTCTGCCTTCGGCTCAGGTCATGATCCCAGGGTCCTGGGATCAAGCCCCGCATTGATCTGCTCATCTGGGAGCCTGCTTCCCCCTCTCTCTCTCTGCCTGCCTCTCTGCCTTCTTGTGATCTCTATCAAATAAATAAAATCTTAAAAAAAAAAAAAAGATCTTGTGTAAGGATAAATTTTTGTTATTTTAAAGATTTTATTTTTATTTATTTTTAAGATTTTATTTATTCATTTGACAGAGGGAGATCACAAGCAGAGAGGCAGACAGTGAGAGGGGGGAAGCAGGCTCTCTGCTGAGCAGAGAGCCCAATGCCGGGCTCGATACCAGGACCCTGAGACCATGACCCAAGCCCAAGGCAGAGGCTTAATCCACCGAGCCACCCAGGTGCCCAAACTTTTGTTATTTTAAATCCCTGGCTTGCTTATTGCTTCTGGTATGTGAAAATAAGATAGTACATGAGGCAGTATGTAGAGTGTTTAAGCTTGGGATTTGAACACATACAAATCTTGGCTTAAATCTTAATTCTTGGGGTGCTTGGGTGGCTCAGTGGGTTAAAGCCTCTGCCTTCGGCTCAGGTCATGATCCCAGGGTCCTGGGATCGAACCCCACATCGGGCTCTCTGCTCGGCAGGGAGCCTGCTTCCCCCCCCCGCACCCTCACAGCCCGTCTGCCTCTCTGCCTACTTGTGATCTCTGTCTGTCAAATAAATAAAATCTTAAAAAAAAAAAAATCTTAATTCTTCCACCTATGATCTGTAAGACCTCAAAAAGTTGCTTCTTAACTATTCTGAGCCTTGGTTTCCTCATGAACATGGGGATAGCAATATAAAATGAGATGGTGCATATGAAAGATTTAGCATAATCCCTGGTATTATAGTAAGTGCCCAATAAATGTTATTGTTCCTATAAAATACAAAGCTAAACTTTAATTCCTGCCAGAGAGGGTGAGCTTTGTGATATTTTAACATACTTGTCATGTGAAAAGCAGAAATTGTTATTTCTAATAGAATAGACTAATTCTAATAGAAGTTCTCCAGTAGCAACAAATATGATCCTAGTTAATATATAATTGGTTTTCCCTTATATTTTTAGATACATATTTTATATATAAATAATTAGTGTGTTCTTTAATAAGCAGAGATGAGATATGTGTATGTTTTTAAATCTTTCTGATGAGAAGATAATCTAAAAGTAGTTTTGTCTTTGTAATATAGTAGTCCCCTTTTATCCCTGGGGAATACATTCCAAGACCTCCAGTGGATGCCTGAAACTGCGGATAGTACCAAATCGTGTATATACTATCTTTTCCTATATGTACAAACCTGTGATGTGTGACAGACAAATGGATACTGCATGGGTATGCTGGGTAAAGTGATGTGATTCACGTCCTGGATGTGGAATAGTGCAAGATTTTATCACGCTACTCAGAAAAGCATACAATTTAAGACATATGAATTATTTATTTCTAGAATTTTCCATTTAATATTTTCAGACTGTGTTTGACCACAGAAAGTGACACTGTGGCTAAGGGGATACTACTGTACATGAGTCTTCTAAGTAGCTCCAAGGTGTGCTTTAGTTTGAAGTTTTTAAATTGCCCAGGCCATTTAACTAAGGTTGGTGAATTTGGAGGTATATAGAAATAAATCCTTTGAATAATAATTTAATAATCATAACTCTAATAACTGCCAGAGCATTCTTAATCTGTGAAAACATTGAGACAAATAGAACACCATTATAGTTGATTGGTTGAGTTTTGCTCACCATGGTAGGGAAGCTGCTTGCATTTGTGGAATAATTTTAGCAGATCAGGTTGCATTTTCAGCTCTTCGGCCATTATTTTCAAACTCTTCTCTATTTTCTTTGAAATAAGATATGCTGCCTTGAAGTACAGTAGGTGCTTCAAAACTTTCTTTTTTTTCAAGACTAATTTTTTCTGATATCTAAGTCAAACCATTACTCTTTCCATGTACACACACACGTACATTTCCCGTTCCCTGGTATGTGTGTTTTTACTTCCTGGCAACATTAAACCAGTTTAATAGTAAAACTAGATCATTTTAATGGAGTAAACTTGTTAAAAACATGCTTAGATATATGAATGTTGCTGTATTTTTTACTAAGACTTGTTTTAGTCATAGTTTCATTTAACGTTCTTATTTCCCAGACATTGGCTAGGATGTTTATTTGTGATTCAGTGGAATCTTTTCTTTTTAATTTTATTTTTAAGATTTTATTTATTTATTTATTTGACAGACAATGATCACAAGTAGGCAGAGAGGCAGGTGTGGGGGGTGGGGGGAAGCAGGCTCCCGGCTGAGCAGATCAATGCGGGGCTTGATCCCAGGACCCCGAGATCATGGCCTGAGCTGAAGGCAGAGGCTTAACCCACTGGGCCACCCAGGTGCCCCCAGTGGAATCTTTTCTTGAAGGCAAATGCTTTTTCATCTTGGTTTTTATGTTGTGGACTTTTATCAGTTTGGTTTGATATTTAAAGCCTTTTTGGCTTCTGGTAGGTCTTTGCTCTGGTAGCTTCTCTTGCAAGGCCTTCCTACTACTTTCATAGCTTCTTTCTAGTGTAATTTGTCATAGGTTCCAGCTCTGTAGGGCTCCTCTTTCTTTTATTCTTGTCATCTCAGAGTGAAGAGATCCATTCTAGGTGCCACCATATTGTGAGAAGGTAGTTGGGGGAAAGTAGAGTGCTACTTTCCACTACTTTGTTTTTTCTCATTCTACCTGTTATTGCCAGGTCAGGATAGAGGCTCAGCTCACCACTGGACCCTGCTGGCGGTACCCTGCTGAGCCTGATCACTGTCAAGGGTCAAAGAATTGGACTGCTGCCTCCTGCTTCAGTGGGAGTAGGGTAGAAGAGCGCTGCCTCTTTAGCCTCACTGACCTTGGGGAAGGGGAGGTAGCAGTTTTTCTCTCTATTTGAGTAAGTTGCCAACATTTTCTGTTAGGCCACCCCTTTCCCAATTTTTTGCAACTATTTCTTGGAGTTGGTTTGTTTTGTTTTTGTTTTTGTTTTTTTAATTTGTGCATTTTTTAAAGATTTTATTTATTTATTTATTTATTTATTTGTCAGAGAGAGAGAGAGAGAGAGCGCCAGCGAGAGAACACAAGAAGGCAGAGCTGCGGGCAGAGGCAGAGAGAGAAGCAGGCTCCCCACTGAGCAAGGAGCCCGATGCGGGACTCGATCCCAGGACCCTGGGATCATGACCTGAGCTGAAGGCAGCGGCTTAACCAACTGAGCCACCCAGGTGTCCCTAATTTGTGCATTTTTTAAATCAATTCCTTGTTGGAGGCTTCTGTAGATCCTTTCCAGGTTGTATGGGAAGCAATAAGGAAATCCAGGGAATTTGTTACTCTTTTGTTCTCCAAGTCCTCAGGTCCCTACGTAACCTTCTTTCCATCTTCCAGTTTTCTTGTCTTATGTCCAGGTTTTTTTCAGTTATAAGGGGAAGGACCTGGGAGAGATGGGGCTACTGTCTTTTGGCCAGTACAGAAGTCACATCTTTAAGATGGCGAGATTAATCCTTTCAATTAGTTCTCAGTGGAAGCAGTAAGACAGTGATTTTCAAACTGAACTGAAACATCTTAATTTTTATTTAAAAAACATGTTTTAAAAGCCAAAATTAAAACTTAAAAACCACTGTTCTAGGACACTCCACTAAGAATTAAATCCAAACCTTTTTCTAAGTATGTCTCTAAGGACTAGTCTTTGAACAATTGGGAAGCAAGGACTCTGTTCTATTTCTGTTTTTCTAGCACTTGAACTTGCCCAGCATGTAGTACATATCCAGTACATGTTTGTGAAGCAATGGAGTCATTTATGCATATCCTTATTCTCTGCCCTTGTAGTTCCTTTATGACCCACTCCATCTTAGGATCCTTTTTTTTTCCCTCTTGCCAGGTATTCTGGATACAGCCATTGTTGATCGGGGGAGGAATGTGGTGTCTGGTTCTCGAGATGGGACAGCACGACTTTGGGATTGTGGGCGCTCAGCCTGCCTGGGAGTCATTGCAGACTGTGGTTCTTCTATCAATGGAGTGGCTGTGGGTGCTGCTGACAACTCCATAAACCTCGGCTCACCTGAGCAGACGCCGAGTAAGTTGGTAATGATATGTTGAGCTTATTTTGATTCCTTAGGCACCTTCAGTGTTTGCCTTAGCTTCTCCTTTTCTCTCCTTGCCCTGCTTTTTTGGCTGGTATTTGTATTTTCACCATAAGTTTAGTATTTATTGCATACCTACTATGTTTCTGTTGCTTTGGAATCTATAAAAGAAGTATATGTCATGTTAACTACATTTAAGTACATAGTTTAGCAGATGAGACTGATGCCTATAAAACAAAAAAAAAATTTAGCTGGAACAACATAATGATTCTTAATGCAAATAAAATGGTTTTTTGGAGGAAGAGAGTATTTTATATTTTAGGTTAGTGTAGATGAGAAAGGTGTCACAAAGAAGTTGACTTGAATCTTGGAGGATGAATTTGAGTTGAATAGACAAGAATGGGAAGGATGGGAGAATGGGAGCTGGGGTGTAGGATTAGGGGCAGTTCACATTAAAATAGTTTGAGGTGAAATTGACTGTTGGGTAGAAGGATATGTTTGGTTGGGTCAGAGGTTAGGTCAAGTTAGTAGGGGCACCTGGGTGGTTCAGTGGGTTAAAGCTTCTGCTTTCGGCTCAGGTCAGGATCCCAGGGTCCTGGGATCGAGCCCCGCATCAGGCTCTCTGCTCAGCAGGGAGCCTTCTTCCTTCTCTCTCTGCCTGCCTCTCTGCCTACTTGTGATCTCTTATCTGTCAGATAAATAAATAAAATCTTAGAAAATAAGAGTAGTTAGTAGTGGGGGTCACCTGGCAGGCTCAGTTGGTAGAGTGTGCAACTCTTGATCTCGGAGTTCCAAGTTTGAGCTCCATGTTGGGTGTAGAGATTACTTAAAAAAAAATCTTTAGGGGCAGGGGCACTTGGATGGTTCAGATGGTTAAATATCTGCCTTCAGCTCAGGTCTTGATCTCCAGGTCCTGGGATCGAGTCAGGCTCCCAGCTTAGCAGGGAGTCTGCTTCTTCCTCTTCCTCTCTCCCTGCTTGTGCTCTCTTTGTCTCTCTCTCTCTCTCAAATGAATATATAATCTTTAAAGGGGCGCCTGGGTGGCTCAGTGGGTCAAACCTCTGCCTTCGGCTCGGGTCATGATCCCAGGGTTCTGGGATCGAGCCCCACATCGGGCTCTGTGCTCAGCGGGGAGCCTCCTTCCCTCTCTCTCTGCCTACTTGTGATCTCTCTGTCTGTCAAATAAATAAAATCTCTACCCAAAAAAAAGAAAAAAAACCTCTTTAGGGGCACCTGGCTGGCTCAGTCAGTGGAATGTGAGACTCTTGATATTGGGGTTGTGGATTCAAGCCCCATATTGGGTGTAAGGATTACTTAAAAATAAAATCTTTAAGAAAACATTTTATTTTTTTGAGCAGTTTTAGGTTCACAGCAAAATGGAGCAGAAAGTGCAGTTTTCGGGGTACCTGGGTGGCTCTGTCGGTTAAGTATCCAGCTCTTAGTTTTGGGTCAGGTCATGAGATCAAGCCCCATGTTGAGCGCCACGCTCAGTGCAGTCTGCTTAAGGATTCTTTCCCTCACCCTCTGCCCCTCCTCCCACTCACACTTGCACACACATGCTCTCTCTCTCTTTCTCTCAAATAAATAAATAAATAAATAAATCTTTTTTAAAAAGGTATGGTTTTCATACTCCCTCTGCCCCAGACAGCCTCCCCAATTACCATTTTATCAACATCCCTCACCAGAGTGGTATATTTGTTATAATTGATAAACCTACATTGACATATCAGTGTCACTTAAGTAATTTTTATTAGGTTCATTCTTGGTGTTGTATATTCCGTGGATTTGGACAAGTGTATAATGACATGTATCTATCATGGTATCATACAGAAGATTCATTGCCTGAAAAATCCTTTGTGCTCTACCACTTCATCCCTTCCTCTCCTATAACCCTTGGCAACCACTGATACTTTTACTGCATCCATGATTTTGCCTTTTCCAGAATGCCACAGTTAGAATCATAAACTATACAGTCTTTTCAGATTGGTTTCTTTCATTTAGTAATAAGCATTTAAGGTTCTTCCATATCTTTTGATGGGTTTTTAGCACTGAATAATATTGCATTGTCTGGATGTACCTCAGTTCAGTCATCCATTCACCTACTGAAGGACATCTTTGTTGCTTCCAAGTTTTGGCGAATATGAATACTGCTATAAATATCTGTGTGCATGTTTTTATGTGGACATAGGTTTTCAACTGATTTGGGTTAATTTTGCCCTTCACTTTTTTTTTTTTAAGATTTTGTTTATTTATTTGAGAGAGACAGAGAGAGCATGAGTGGAGAAAGGGGCAGAGGTAGAGAGAGAAGCTGACTCACTGCTGAGCAGAGAACCTGATGCAGGGCTCAATCCCAGGACCCCAGGATCATGACCTGAGTCAAAGTCAAACTCAACTGACTAAGCCTCCTGGGTGCCCCATTGCCCTTCACTTTTTTTTTTTTTTTTAAAGATTTTATTTATTTATTTGACAGAGATCACAAGTAGGCAGAGAAGCAGGCAGAGAGAGGGAGGAAGGGAAGCAGGCTCCCTGCTGTGCAGAGAGCCCGATGCGGGGCTCGATCCCAGGACCCTGGGATCATGACCTGAGCTGAAGGCAGAGGCTTTAACCCACCTAGCCACCCAGGCGCCCCTGCCCTTCACTTTTGACACTGTAGGTACTCTCTTGTCTTGCAGATGTACTGTGGTCCAAGAACTAAAATTGTTGCTGACCACCAGATGTTCCCTGAGCTCTCTTTGGAATTAATAGGATGAGTCTTTTCCCAAAGTGTGATACATATGCAATTAGTGATAAATAAGATTCTTTCAGGCAGTACACATCTTCAGTAGTATACTATTAAATATATTTAATACACATACTTTACTTCAAACCTAAGATAGCCCACAATATTACTTAAAACAAGGTTAAGTTTTTTAAAAATGTATTGGCTTAAAGTAATTTTTTTTAAAGATTTTATTTACCAGAGAGCAAGAGCACAAGCAGGGGGAGCAGCAGGCAGAGGGAGAAGAAACAGGCTCCCCGATAAGTAAGGAGCATGAGGCCACATGCGAGGCTAATCCCAGGACCCTGGATCATGACCCGAGCTGAAGGCAGACACTCAACCAACAGAGCCACCCTGGCATCTCAATTTAAAGTAATTTAAATGAAAATATGCTTTTTATTTTATTTATTTATTTGACAGAGTAAGTGAGAGAGGGAACAGAAGCAGGAGGAGTGGGAGAGGGAGAGGGAAAAGCAGGCTTCCTGCCTAGCAGGGAGCACGATGTGGGGCTTGATCCCAGGACCCTGGGATCATGACCTGAGCCAAAGGCAGATGATTAATTGACTGAGCCACCCAGGCACCACGTACTAGTCTCCTATAATCCTTACTGAGTGACCCGGGCACCCTGTTTTGTTTTTTTTTTCTTTTTTTAAGGATTTTATATATTTATTTGAGAGAGGTGGGGAGAGTTTAGAGGGAGAGGGAGAGGCAGACTCCCAGCTGGGTAGGGTGCCTAACTCATGGCCTGATCCTAGGACCCCGAGATCATAACCCGAGCCGAAGGCAGGTATTTAACCGACTGAGCCACCCAGGTGCCCCTTACTAGTCTCCTATAATCCATTCTCCTCAGAGCAACCATTTGTGGTCATTAAAAAAAAAAAACAACCCACAAATCAAGTCATGTTGCTCTCCTTCGTCCCTACTCTCCCTCCAGTGACCTCCTTTTATACATATATTAAAATCCTATCCACTTCACTTGGCTTATCACAACACTTAACACTTTCTGACCTCCACATTCCTTTCCAGCCTCGTGTCATACTGCCTTTAATTCGCAAAGGTCTTTGCATGACTAATTTCTGGTTTACCATTCAGATCTCAGTTGAAACCTGGCCTCCATGGAGTTTCTTTAAAGATAGATTTATTTGTTTCTTTAAAGATAGAAATTAGCATGACTAATTTCTGGTTTACCATTCAGATCTCAGTTGAAACCTGGCCTCCATGGAGTTTCTTTAAAGATAGATTTATTTGTTTGTTTTTATTTAAGAGAGGCTGGGCTGGAGGGGGTGGGGTAGAGGGAGAGAGAGTCGTAAACAGATTCCATGCTGAGCACAGAGCTGAAGCAGGGCTCAATCTCATTACGCTGAGATCATGACCTAAGCTGAAACCAAGAGTCAGATGCTTACCTGACTGTGCAACCCAGGTACCCCTCATGGAGTTTTTTTTACAGTTGAAGTTTAAATTTAAAATTACCTTTCCTCACTCAGCCTTCCACATCTACTCACTATTGATTAGATTTTCCTTTTTTATTTTCTTTGTGGAATTCATCACTGTCTGAAAATATCCTATTTGTTTATTTACCTATTCCACTATTTCCTATTTCCACTAGAATTCTTGAGAGTAAGGACCCTGTCTGTTCGTATATTACTATTTCCTTAGCACCTAGAATAGTGTCCAATACACAGTAGACCCTCACTAAAGATTTTAGTGAATGAATAAATTTCATTTGCTGCAGACCATAAGAGCCTTGAGGGCAGAGACTTTTAACATTGTGCCCCTACTGCTAATATGGTATCCTGTCACATTCCAAATGACTTAATATTCTTAAGTTGGGTTTATTGATATGTATTTTACATGTAGTAAAAGTTGCCCTTTTTATCTTATTTTATTATATATTTTTTAATTAACTTATTTAGGGGCACCTGGGTAGCTCAGTCAGTTGACCATCTGACTCTTGGTTTCAGCTCAAGTCATGATCTTGCTTGCGGTCATGGGATTGAGGCCTGTGCTAGGCTCTGGGCTCAGTGTGGAGTCTGCTTCAGATTCTTTCTCCTCCCTCTGCCCTTCCCATGTGCACTCTTGCTCTCTCTCTCTCAAATAATAAAATCTAAATATATATATATATTTATTAAGGAATCTCTCATCCCTAACCTGGGGCTCGAACTTAGAGCCCTGAGATCAAGAGTTGCATGTACTACCAACTGAGCCAGCCAGGTGCCCCAAAAGTCACCCTTTTAAATGATCAATTCTGTGAGTTTTGACAGATGTGTACCAACATCTAAACAGTACGAACAGTCAAGATACAGAATATAATAAAAGTTTTTTTAAGTTAGCAAGTTAATCACTAAGAGGAATTCAATAAACAGCCATGAGGATTCGTGCTTTCTGGCACTGCCAGCTGATTGGCCTAGCCCATTGTTGACATGGTTTATCTGTCATGCAGGTGAACGGGAGGTTGGAACAGAGTCGAAAATGCTGCTGTTGGCACGGGAGGATAAGAAACTTCAGTGCTTGGGACTGCAGAGCAGGCAGCCGGCAAGTGGTTCCTCTAAGACTTTGGAATTCTGGGGCATGCTGGATCACTCTGATTTTTGGAAAGCGGTTTTGGAAACATTTCTGCTTGCTCCCTGTGTTCATCTTTTGAGAAAGCTGCAGGAGTAAAGGGCAATAGAGTGTAACAATTAAGAGCATGGAATTTGGAGAAAGGGCAGCATTCACGTCCTAGCTCTTCTACAATGGTTGTGACATTTAATAGGTTACTTAACCATTCTGAGCCTCAGTTTCCTCATCACTAAATTGGGCATAGTAGTACTCACCTGGTAGGGTTATATGATGAGGATTAAATGCTCTACTGCTTTGTGACCTTGGTTAAGTCACTTCTCTCTGGGCCTCCGCGTGCTGTGTATAAAATGATGAGGTTATGTAGATTCCCTTCCATATCCAAGGTAATGTGAAGAAATTCTGAGTCAAGAACTTATGCATTCAGGATTTTGATCAACTAGTGACCAGAATGTCTCTTATGGAAGAATTATTTGAATTTTTTTCCTTCAGCCGCTGAAGTTTTGCACTGGGCACACTATTCTTCATTAAGCCCGGAGTTCCCTGGGATTTGATTTTGCCCATCAGCCTCACCCAGACAACTTTAATGATTTGGGTTGGCTACAGATTTTGTATTTTCATTTCTTCTTGTTACTTCATTGTTCTAGTGATGTTTCCATTTTCAGAAATGACATTCCAGGAACATCACTCTTTCTGGTCATATCGCCTCTGCACTGCTTTTCCTTCTGAAGGGAAATCACAGGTTTTGTTTGGCCAGATTTGTTTTTTTCCTTTCTTTTTAGAACATTTGAGGCAGAAATGATCAGATTGAGCTAAGAGTAGAGAACAACAACAACAAAATCTGATAATTCTTTTTTTCAGGCAGAATTATAATTCTTTAAATTGCCACTTTATTTAAGCTTGTTTCTTTTCCTACGTAGTCTCCCTTCAAAAGGTTGTCAGAAGTGACAGGAACAAAATTTAAATGTGTGAATTGCAAGTGTTTCTCAAATGGAGGGTTGTAATGAGAAGCAGAAGAAAGATGTTGGGTACTGAGGGTCGTGGGAGGCAGTGTGGGTCCTGGGAGGCAGTGTGTTGAGGGGCAGTAGTTTGAAAACTGCTGCATCTGGGTGTGGTCGTGCATACACTGTTGAAGTCCTCTGCGGGGCCTGGTTCCTCTTTGGTCCTTGCTGAATACTTTGTTTAGAAGCAGAGTACGTAAAGGGAGAGGAAAGCAAATGTCTCTAAAAATAGGAAAATTTTCCTTTTTTTGGTGTCTGCTTATTTCTGAAAACAATGTTTAAGCAGCAATTTCGGCTCCCGCTTGTTCCCAGGTGTTCCTCTTTGTTGGCTCAGATGCCTTCAACTGCTGCACTTTTCTCTCTGGCTTCTTGCTGTTGGCTGGGACACAGGATGGAAACATTTATCAGCTGGACGTGAGGAGTCCAAGGTGAGTCACCATTCATTTGCATGATGCAGGTCTTCTACAGAATGGAAATTTTTATTAGCTTTAACAATGATTTAGCATAACATGTAGATGACTGTTGAATCAAGGGTATATTTTTCCATTTATAAAGGTTTTCCAGTGTGAGTGGTCTGGTTGTTCTTATTATTCCTGGAATCATATTAAAGGTAATTTGATTCATGCTGTCATGATTGTCCTATTGTAGTGATGGCTTTGGAATCTGAGCTTTAACAAACTAACAATTCACTTAAAATGATTGTATAGAACTTTTAATTTTAAGGAGCTCAGTAATTTTCTCAGTGGTATTAAATCTGGATTGGCTTAAGAGTGATCATTTTTAGTTCAAGTAAGCCAGCTGTGTTTCTTTGGCTTTGATCATAACCTATCTGAAATAGGCTTTATTCTGGTCTTAAAGATACCCAGAGAGAACCACACAACCTCTCCATCCCAGGATTTAACTATTTCTCCAATTCTGTCCCTTCTTCCTTCCATTTCCTTTCTTTTGTTCAGCTGACATTTACTAAATGGCTTTTGTGGTCACCAGATATTGTGCAGGGCACTGAAAACCAGAAGTAAAAGATACAGATTCTGCCCTTGAGGCACTTGGATTCTAACAGTAAAGACAGGCAACTAAAAGACATTGGTGATACAGTGTGGTCAGTGGGCTGACAGGGCTCTACACAGGAAATTGAGAAAGCGCTGAGAAGGAGAAAGGAGAAGGTGGGAATTCTTCTCCAAGGAAATGAAGCTTTAATTGGATCTTGTCCAATAGGAAGTTACCAAATGAAGAGAGGGATCTGCCCTAGGTAGAATAGCACATAGAGAAGCATGAAGACATGTGGAAGTATGGCACTTTCAGGGATCTCTGAGTAGTTTAATATGACAGATATATACCCTGCAGACAGGGTAGCAGTTAGAAGTGATGTCAGACAGGAAAGCAAGAGTTTGTTAGAAAGAACACATGTACCATCCAAAGGAGTTTGGGCTTTACTCTAAGAGCAGTAAAGAAATTCTAGTGAAAGGTGACTAGCTTACACCTTTTCTTCCAAAATTTCAATTGCTTTACTTTTGTTCTTGTTTTTTACTCTATGGAGATTCAGGGAATGTCTGGTCACTATTAGAAAATGCCAGGGTGCCTGGGTGGCTCAGTTGGTTAAGCGTCTGCCTTTGGCTCAGGTCATAATCCCAGGGTCCTAGAATCGAGCCCCATGTCAGGTTCAGATTCAGACTCAGACCCAGACTCAGCTGGGAGTCTGCTTCTCCCTCTTCTGCTCCCCCTGCTTGTACTTTCTCTCTCTCTCTCTCAAATAAATAAAATATTTTAAAAAAAAAAAAAGAAGAAGAAGAAGAAAATCAGCCTTACAGGGGGACCTAGCTGGCTCAGTTGATAGAATGTGCGACTTGATCTCAGGGTCATAAATTTGAGCCCCACTTTGAGCGTGGAGCCTACTTAAGATTAAAAAAAAAAAAAGAAAATCAGCTTTACATATATATTAAATTTATTCTTATTCACCTTTCTCTTTCATTTCATAGAGTCCTGACATTTGTAATGTCTGACAAGTATCTTTTTTTTTAACTCTCAACTGTCTTAATTTTGTCTGTAAGCAAAATAATTAACATATGTTAACATTATTATCTTAAACTCTTGTCAGGTCTCCCCTAAAAACTGGAGTTGGTGGTGGTAACTTAGTTCATTCAGCTCAGTGACCTGTTTAGTTAGAGACATGTTTAGATCACTCCAAGGTGGTTTTGAGTGGATTACCTGAATCTACCATTTAAGGATCTTGCCAGGAAAGAAACTGTATGAATGTTTAATCTCTGTCCACGTTTGTCCTGTTTGCTTTTGTGTGGTTAGTCCTATATGTTGAATATAGTCAATTGTTGCTTTTGAAGAAAAAAGTACAGTTGCTCCTTTTTCTTTGAATTCCAGGGCTCCGGTACAAGTGATCCACAGATCTGGAGCACCAGTTCTGTCCCTGCTGAGTTTCAGAGATGGATTCATTGCCAGCCAAGGTGGGTCCAGGGACCCCTTGAGAGAGATGGCTTCCTGTAGTTCATTTAAATGTAAGGTTAGGGGTATCTGGTGGCTTAGTCTGTTAAGCATCTGACTTTTAACGCTTAGGTCATGATCTCAGGGTGGTGAGATTGAGCCCTACATCAGGCTCCATGCTGTGTGGAGCCTACTTAAGATTCTATCTCTTGGGGTGCCTATGTGGCCTGGTTGAGTGACTTGATTTCTGCTCAGGTCATGATCTTGGGGATGTGAGAATGAGCCCAGCGTTGGACTCCATGCTGGGTGTGAAGCCTGCTTGAGATTCTCTTTCCCTCTGTCCCTCCCCTGCCCACCCTTAAAAAAAAAGATGCCCCTGTCCCTGCACTCCACCCCTACTCTCCCATTCATGCCTTCTCTCTCTCTCTCTAAAAACAAATAAATTTAAGTTTAAATGCATGATCTATGGTGGGGCTAGGGGTATGGTTCTCCACAATTCTTTGGCATATCGTATTTATCATACAGTGTTTATCACCCTACACTGTGATTGTCTATATCTCCCTCCAGTTCAGGCTCCTTGAAAGTAGTGATTGTGCCTTATTCATAGTAATATAACTGTTTTCAGAGGATGAAACTAAGACCAATGAAAGAAAATTACCAGGAGCCACATTTCAGTTGAGTGTAAGGAAAATGTTCTGTCTTGTTAAGAGAGAAGCTGGCATTGTAGAGAGCACTACAATGCTTGGGATGGAGAAGCATAGGCTGGCTGGCCAGTCTGCAAGGTGTTGTGAATAGAATTCAGTACCAGTTTAGAAGTTGGATATAGATGATCTTAGAGGTCCTTTGGAACTCTTTTACTAGAGAGGAGATTGAAATTACCAGATTAAACAATTTAGAAACTTTTTATTATGGAAATTGTCAAAGAGATACAAAGGTAGAGAGAATAGCATAATAAACCTGATATTCCCATTATCTAGCTTCAACCTTTACCAGTTTATAGCTAATCCTGTTTCATCTTGTTTTACACTTTCCCTTATAATCCCCAACCATTGTGATATTTTGAAACATATCACAGACATTTTATTATTTCACCTATCAATACTTACATAAGTATTTCTAAAAAATAATAATTCTTTTATTGAAAAGATGATTTTTGGGATGCCTGGCTGGCTCAGTTGGTGGAGCATGCAACTCTTGATATTGAGTTGTCAGTTTGAGTCCCATGTTGGGTGTAGAGATTACTTAATAAAATAAAATTTAGGGGTGCCTGGGTGGCTCAGTGGATTAAAGCCTCTGCCTTCGGCTCAGGTAATGATCCCAGGGTCCTGGGATTGAGCCCCACATCGGGCTCTCTGCTCAGCAGGGAGCCTGCTTCCTCCTCTCTCTCTGCCTGCCTTTCTGCTTACTTGTGATCTCTGTCTGTCAAATAAAGAAATAAAATTTTTAAATAAATAAATAAATAAAATAAAATAAAATTTAAATAAAAAAATATTATTTTTAATAATACCAAAAAGGATAAGGTCTTTCTGTATGCTGCTGGTTGGGGTATAGGTTGATTAACAGATAAATTAAAATTAACTAACATTTGTTTCAACAGCAGTTTTTCAATTTTTAAAAAGCTTGAAAAGGTTAATTAAAATTTTTTCCTGGATTCTATACAAAGTCACAATGTTGATACAGAAAAACTTTATGCATAAAGATATTCTTTTATGTAGTATGCTTTCAACCATGTAAAATAAAATTTGCACAAAAAGGGGGCACCTCGGTGGCTTAGTGGGTTAAAGCCTCTTCCTTCAGCTCAGGTCATGATCCCAGGATTCTGGGATCAAGCCCCACATTGGGCTCTGCTCAGCAGGGAGCCTGCTTCCCTTCCTCTCTCTCTGCCTGCCTCTATGCCTACTTGTGATCTCTGTCTGTCAAATAAATAAATAAAATCTTTTAAAAATTTTGCACAAAAAGGTTTGGAAAAATACATTAAAAACATTAACAGTAGTGATCTTTTAGGGGTAGATGGAGTGTTTTTTTTTTTTTTAAATTTCTGTTTCTTGTTTTTAAAGTTTTCCTCAATTAACATGTACTATTTTTATATTAAGTAAAACAATAATAAAAAAAATTACCTTATTTCAGCAGTTTACAGAACATCCCAAGTCTCACTTGTCCATGGTCTTTTAAGAAAATTAAGTTTAAAAATAAATATACTTTTATTTTTTTGGTATAACAACTTTGCTCTTTTGCCTCATGTATCCAGTCAAGTTTATAGATAGAAGAATAATTTGGGAGCATATTAAAACATGTATATGGACAAGTCCCTGTTAAAAATCATTGGCCAGGGTAAGTTTGCAGTCCTCTGTAAGCCTGAAGTGACTTGCTCTGTGCCCTTGGCAGGTATTGCTCATCAAAGACAGCCCTTCTTCCCATTGAGCTTGTACTTGTCCTTCAGATCCTCTAACCCAGCATTCTAGGCAGCCACTGTAGGTCCTCATATTTGACCCATGTAATGAGGCCTGTTTGCCATTCTGGGTCTTGGGATAAACTTCTTTAGGCTCGTGATGTACTGAAATAAACTACAATACTGATTTTTTTTTAAAAGCTCCTTTGCGTGCAGCTTTTCTTTAGTTCTCTAAATTTTTCTTTCTGCCTTTTAGGTGATGGAAGCTGTTTCATTGTCCAGCAAGACCTAGACTATCTAATTGAGCTCACTGGAGCTGACTGTGACCCTGTGTTCAAGGTACAGGCCCGAGAGGCACCTGGGTGATTCCCACCTGAGATCTAAGGCTTTTGAGGGGACTGAATCCAGCTACTTTGTGGGCATTCTGAATGATAAAATACTTACGGATGAGATAAAAGTCAGTGAGAATTTTGAGTCAGAAGTGATTTCACCACTTTTTAGCTCTAGAAACTTGAAAAATCATTTCACCACTTCAGTCTGTCAGTTTTATAAAATGAGAGTAATGAGATAATGTATATGAAAAATAGTTGTAAATTTTAAATCTTCTATAAATATTTAGCTGTCATTATTATTATTTAAAGTTCAAGACTGTTTATCTCATTTGATTAGAAAGAAAAAAACAAAAGGGAAAATAATATTTATTGACTAGACATTGTGCTGGATGTTTTACATGTATCTTATTTCGTTGTTATTATTCTTGATGTATAAGTATTATTATTTCTATTGTTTTTATACTTTTTTAAAGTTATACAGCTAATACATACCTGTAAAAATTCAAACAATACAAAATTACACAACTCTCAAGTCCCCTTTAAGACCTTTTTAGTTCTGCTCTTCTTTCCAGTAGTAACTAGCATTAACACTTGGGCATGTATCTTTCAGGACTGTTTTTGGAAAATTTTCACTTACATCTTTGTGTTTATGTAATTATGTAGATAATATAGTTTTATCTTTAGTTTGTACATAACTGAAAACATTCTATATGTATTGTATTGTTCTGTGACTTTTTTAACATCTTAGAGCTCTTTTCAGATAAATGCAAATAGATCTACTTCATTTTTAAAATTCCTGCATACTGTTCTATATTGTGAATCAACATACCATTTTCATTTTATAAGTGAGGAAGCTGGAGTCCAGAGTGATTGAGAAAGTTGCCTTAGGTCATGTAGGTACACATTAGCTCCACTTGAGATTAAGCTACCTCCAGAATTCATGCTTCTTCCACTAAATTAATGGTTTTTAACCTTTGAGTCTCAGGCTTTTTCTCTCCTTTTCTTTTTTTTTTTTTTTTCAAAGATTTTATTTATTTATTTGACAGAGATCACAAGTAGGCAGAGAGGCAGGCAGAGAGAGAGGTGGAGGCAGGCTTCCCGCAGAGCAGAGAGCCTGATGCGGGGCTCCATCCCAGGACCCTGGGATCATTACCCGAGCCGAAGGCAGAGGCTTAACCCACTGAGCCACCCAGGCGCCCCTATTCTTTTCTTTCAATTGAGATCTCATCTACATACTGTTTTGCTAGCCTACATGGGTACATTAATCCTAATGAGTTTAGATTTATGATGAGTGGGCTCAATCATACAGTAACATACACACATACACACAAATTGTTTTTTTTAAAAACTTGCGCATAGGGGCGCCTGGGTGGCTCAGTTGGTTAAGCCACTGCCTTTGGCTCAGGTCGCAATCCTGGAGACCCAAGATCGAGTCCCACACTGGGCTCCCAGCTCTGCAGGGAGTCTGCTTCTCCCTCTGACTTTCTCCTCTCTCATACTCTCTCTCACTCTCTCTTTCTCTCTCAAATAAATAGAATCTTATTTATTTATTTATTTATTTATTTATTTATTTTTAAAGATTTTATTTATTTTATTTGACCGATAGAGATCACAAGTAGGCAGAAAGGCAGGCAGAGAGAGAGAGGAGGAAGCAGGCTCCCCGCCGAGCAGAGAGCCCGATATGGGGCTCGATCCCAGGACCCTGGGATCACGACCCGAGCCGAAGGCAGAGGCTTTAACCCACTGAGCCACCCAGGCGCCCCAGTAGAATCTTTTTTAAAATGCATATATTATGCTCCTATAAAGGTTGATTAAAAACCTCTAGTTTCAAGAATCCGTCTGATTTTGAAGATGAACTATTTTGGTCATTTTTGTACAATGCTATGTTATTGAACTGAAATGTATGTTTTTTAAAAGGACACTGATGAGGGGCACCATCTGGTATTAACTTTAACCTTAGCTGGCTTCCCCCTTCTCTCCCCAAAATCCCTTGACCAAGAGTTCTCCGCTGTAAAGACTGAAAAGACCCAGTGATACTTTGGCGGCAGTTCTGTTGCTGCATGGAGGAAACAGAAGCAGGCCCAGGTCCTCCTCTCATTCTTCCACACTTGCAACTCACAAATGGCTCTGAAATGATAACATTCACTGTGCCTAAAAACTTAGGGACATGGAGAGTCAGATAGAACAAGGGAAAAGAAAATCATAGGTGGGCACATGAAGAGCCAAGCTGCTCTGTCCAACACCTGTGTAATGTGTGGTTTAACTAAATGTGGCTGAACTACTAAAAGTAAACCTGCCTGACTCACCTTCCAAAGCAGAACAAGACTAAAAAGCTCAGACGTGCATTTTCTCATATGCATAGGTTCCGCCAGTGGTGAGGAGCTCATAAACAGGATCTCTACTCCTGCATAGTATAATGCATGCACACAGCACATCTAGCCGCTGAAGAGCTGCACGGGCCCGCCCTCCCAGGTCACATGCACGTGACTGGTTGTAGCTCCTTCACCCTTAGGACATCAACACCCGTCAGCATGGAGGTCAGAGGAGTGGGCCCACATACCATTACAGGTGCTGGCTGTCTCTCTGCTGCAGCTGAAAGGGACACTGGTTTTTGGTTTCTTTGAACCAATCCCTATTATTCCCATTCTGACTAGCTGGTTCCATTGTTGGGCTGGTTCCTCTGTAGGTCTTACTTCCTGGATGCTCTGATCAACCTCGTTTTTCCACCTTCGCTCTATAAATGTATCCCAGAACCACTACAACAGCTTCTGTGACAAAAACCAAGAGTAGAATGATGACAAATGTGGCACATCTACAGCAGCTCTCCCAGATTGGGGCACAGTAGCCAGTCAACCCGAAAATGAAAAGTGGGGCTCCATAGCGATGATAATTATAGCAGGGACGAGAGGATGCACATCTTCAAAGAAGTGGTCGTTGTCATCATAAGTGATGAAGACAGGGGCTCCCACATAGCCTAAAAGGCCAGAATGCGAGCTGCCCCCAACCCTGAAGATGAGGTTGAGAAATTCCAGAAGTCTTGGAGGAGGTGATGCTGTCCATCCGTGGTGCTGGCGGCCCTACGGACACCATGCGCTCTCCAAGCAAGGTGGCAGTAGTGGTGGCGGAGCCTAGAGTGGCCTTCATCTCAGCCCGTGGTGCTGTGGCGCAGCCCCAGCATGTGCCTCGCTCCTCCACGTAGCTGCTGCCTCAGATTTCTTTGAGAAGTTGATGAAATCCCCTCAGGCACATAGTGAGAACTTTGAATATAATTTTATAAGGTTCAGGGATACACCGGCCAGTCTATGAGTCATCTCCTTTCCCAGATCCAGACCCTCTGCCCTCAACAATGCACCACACTAAGGGGTTTGCTCTCTACTTGGCTGATTAGTTTCTCTGTTCTGTAGTCCTAAGGGACCTGGATCCTAACCGGCTATTTTAAAATACTGATCATGGATCTAATTCTTCTTTTGTCTTTGGAGTCAATAGAGCTTCTTAGACTCACTTGTACTAATGGAGATCAATGATGAGCTTCTGTCTTCTTGAAATGGAAGACTCCCAGGCTTCCTTTGAGCTCTGAACTTTTATGTTCCAGGTAGCCACATGGGAGAAGCAGATCTACACATGCTGTCGAGATGGTCTTGTGCGACGCTATCAGCTCTCTGACCTCTGACTCCTTGGAAAAGGATGAAGTTAATGAAAAATATTGGCTCTAATCAACAAAGACATTAGTCCTTCTGAAGGACCATGGCCCCTTATTGTTTGGGGCACCCTTTGGGTGTCACAGAAAATCAACTGCATTGCCCCATGTGGAAGTATCAGTCCATGACAAGACCTACTGTGAACTGAGTAAGAAGCTCACACGTACTCCCTATATACACTCACCCCAACAGCACAGGGCAAGGACATGGATGCTTACACTTTGATCTCATACCATTGTGTTAAATGTTTACAAGGACCAGAGGACTAAAGCCTGTGCTCTGAAGGAAATAAAGAGAATGTGTTTGGAAGAGTCTGAATTTGAAAAACTTTGTTAAATATTCTTACTCCAGCAAAAAGCCATTTGAGTTGATGGAACTCCTTTCTCGGGCACTTCCTGTTGGCCTACCCGTAGAGAAAGACTGCTTGTTAGCAGTAACTATCCTTTAAGCAGGAGCCTGTGAATGATTCCTATACAGGTAGGGAAGCCAAATGTCTCAGTTTTCCTTGGACTGAGGGGTTTTCTGCTACATGGGACTTTCAGTCCTAGGCAAACTGATAGGGTTGATCAATCCATGTACAGGTAATAAAGTTGAATCCTATCATTGTAAGGGCTGTGGCTGTCTGAGTGTGGTCCCTTAACTGCCGAATCAGTATCACCTGGGAACTTGATAGAAATAGAAGTTCCTAGGCCCCACCTCAGCCCTAAATCAGAAATTCTATGGGTAGAACCGGCCAGGTTATTCTGATGCATGCTAAAGCTTGAGACCTAGAGGAAGAAATAATAAAGGGCACTTTCGTCATAGCTGGAACCCAGCGCTCATGGGATGGTGAGGCTGGTCTATAGAGGATGAGGCTGGAGAGGTGGGCTTGAGTCCCAGGTAAGGAACTTGAATTTCATTTGGTTGGCAAGAAACCCACAGAAGAGTTTTAAGCAAGGGTTTAACATGGTCACTTTTTTCCCCCTAAATAGAAAAATGGAGTCATAATGCATGAATTCCATGTTTTATTTTCACTTAGAGTCTCTGATTTCTTCCATTACATTTAGACCTCTATCATTCTTTTTAACACTTTCCGGAGTTTTACATTTTAGAGATTACTAGAGAAAAGGTTTCTTGGACAACACAACACTTGAGCTGAGCAATGTAGGCTAAGATATGGATTTATTTAAGGGAAGAAGCCAATATCTGGCTGGGGTAACAGTATGGTTCACAGCATTCTTAAAGGTATATTTGCATGTAATATTTATAACTTCACTATGACATGCAGGTAGTGAGACTCAGATGAATTGATTGGCCAAGGGTCATAGGGAACAGAAATTTTAACACAGTTTATCTTAACTTTAAATCCATTTTTTTCTACCTGTTGTATATGCCTAAATTGTGAAAATAAAATAGTCATTGAATATTACAGGTCATCTGTGCTATACTAGGGACTGTATTTATATATTTAATCCCAATGACATTCTTTTTTTTTTTTTTTAAAGATTTTATTTATTTATTTGAGGGAGAATGAGTGAGAGAAAACATGAGAGAGGAGAAGGTCAGAGGGAGAAGCAGACTCCCCAAGGAGCTGGGAGCCTGATGTGGGACTCGATCCTGGAAGTCCGGGATCATGGCCTGAGCCGAAGGCAGTTGCTCAACCAACTGAGCCACCCAGGCGCCCTCCCAATGACATTCTTAAAAAGGAAATGGCATTATTTTGTTTTATAGACAAGGAAACTGAGGCTCAAGAAATTAAGTACCAAACCCTTGATTTGGGCCTTGCTTAGTTTGTCTCCAAGACTGTGTCTTCTGCTACGCTACATGGTCTCAAGACCTCTGGGACTTGACCAGTTCCATTTAAGGAGTGATTTGTGATAAGGTCAGGTAGACCCAAAGGGACATATTCCAGAGCTCAGAAACATTGGATCCAAGGAGATCTGGAGAGAACCTCTTAGAAGTCAGATGAAGAAGACAGGATGAAGGAGGATTGGGTGATTTCACACAAGCAGGAATGTCTGTGAGTTCCTCTTCCAGGTCTTGCTCTTCACAGCCGTCAGAGCTGTGATAGTCTGGTTGTAGTGGGTGTAGTGACCCTTGACAGAATGCCCTGAAATCTAGATCCAAACAGGAGGAGGGAGGCTAGCTCTTAGGTGACTCAAAGCCTTGTCTACTGTGAATGGAATCTCCCCAGTGTTAACAGACAGCCTTTTTTTCCCTTTTGGGTTGAGGAGTGCATTCTGGGTAAGGAAGGGTGGACAACCTCCATCTGTAGCAGTACAGGCTCAGGTAAGCTAGACTTTGTTTCTTGGCTTTCAGACGCCCCCTTGTGACTTCTTGTGAGAAGTGCATCTATTTCTCTGAATGGAAAGCTGGCAGTGGCATCCACTAGCATGCATGTAATTGGTGCCAGGCACAGTCCTCACAGTAGCCTTGCAGAGTAAAAGTTTCTTATTCTTGAACATGCCTCTTTGTGGATAAATTTTATATTTTTATTATTTACTTTTTTTTTTTTTTTAGATTTTATTTATTTGAGAGAGAGTGTGAGCAAAAGAGAGCATGAGTAGGGCAAGGGGCAGAGGGAGAGAGAAGCAGACTCCCTTCTGAGCAGGTAGTCTGATTTGGGGCTCGATCCCAGGATTCTGGGATCATGACCTGGGCCCAAGGCAGACGCTTAACTGACTACGTCACCCAGGAGCCCCTAATTTACTGTTCACCTTGAAATCATTTCACACTTGAGAAAAGTTGTAAGGATGTGGTATCTGTTTAACATTTAGGGACTTCCGCCGGTTTTCCAAGTGGCTACACCATTTTACATTCTCAGTGGCAGTGTATAAGTGTTCTTATTTCTCCATGTCCTTGCCAACCCTTGGTCTGTCCACCTTTTATCATAATCAGGTGAGGTTAAGTTGGTTAAAATGGTGCCTACCAGGTTTCTCCATGGCAAACTTAGTAGTTTGTGGAGAGCTACTTTGAGACTCTATGAATATACTGCTCCTCATCAAACTTGCATCATCTAGTGGCAGCCTTTGTTGATGACTTCTGTCTGAATCAGTTACTCCTATTCTAACTGCCAATTAGTGATTTTATCATTCCATCATTCTTTTTACATTTATAATTGGCTTTCTACTGTGAGACTTTCCCTTCTCTGCCATTTATTTAATTACTAATTCACTCACTCATTCACCATAGGTTTATTAGTATGGACTACACATGGATTTGTATTTTATTTTATGGATTATAATCCATTATTGCTACTATTTATTTTGGTGGTTAATTTTTCTCAGTTGGAAACAGTGGTAGCCCCTTCAAGATGGATCCTATGTCCTTTTTTTTTTTTTTTTAAGAAAACATTTTATTTATTCATCTGTCAGAGAGAAGGAACAGGGGGAGTGGCAGGTAGAGGGAGAAGCAGGCTCCACACTGAGCAGGAGCCCAAGGTGGGATTCAATCCTAGGACCCTGGGATTATCACTTGAGCCAAAGGCAGATGCTTAACCAACTGAGCGGTCCAGGTGTCCTGATGTTATGTCCTTTTGATGTGTTAATAGCATTCTTTTAGTGCTTCCATATTTTCTGATACCACAAGCTATTCAAGTTTCATCTTATAATTTCCCATCCCAGTATTGGAATCAACTATTTGTCTAGATAGCTCTTGTTCCTTTTAGTGGAGAATGGCATTTGGAAATCAAGATCTGGGCACTATATATATACTCTTTACTATTAGGGTATTATTGCTTCTAGGCCATATCAGTGGACAGTATTCTAATGTGGAGTCTCCATTTCAATACCCTCATTCTGTATATATATTAAAAAATCATAAATTCACACTGAAGTCCCCTAATTCCAGTCCAACTCCACTGGGATTATTCTAGTCTTCTGCATATAAACTTCCTTCCTCCCAACAGTGAGAAACTCGGCTGTCATAATTCTCAATGTTTCACTTGCTCAATACCTCTGTGAGTAAAGAGTGTGGCAGCCACACAGGCCATCTCCCCTTTCACCCCAGCCCCTGCACACATGGTGTCCCTCAGATAGAGTCTCCTTGTTCCCATGTTCACCTCAGCCAGTCCCAGGCTGAACAAGGCCTTCTCCCAACCCTCTGGATTTAAATTTTTTTTTTTTTTTTTTTTGACAGAAATCACTAGTAGGCAGAAGTAGGCAGAGAGGCAGGCAGAGAGAGACAGGGAAACAGGCTCTCTCCTGAGCAGAGAGCCCGATGCGGGGCTTGATCCCAGTACCCTGAGATCATGACCTGAGCCATAGGCAGAGGCTCAACCTGCTGAGCCACCCAGACACCCCTGGGTTTAATTTTTAATAACACCTTTTTTCTAGTAATAAGAGTTTAAAAAAAAAAGGCCCTACACACGAAAAGACGCTCAATTCCAGTAGTTAAGTTCAAATTAAAACCCACAAGAAAGCTCAGAAATGCAAAAAATAAAATAATGCCGTATTTTCACTTTACAAATAGGCAACTGTGGCTAAGAAATCGTTGTTTAAGGTCATAAAACTAGTAGCTAATCGACAGGATTTGGAACTTGGGCTCTGACTCTATTACCTCAATGCTAAGGAAGCATTTTCTATACATGCTTTTGTATAATTGTATTTAATATTTTCACATCTGCCCTGTGGTGGAGTTTATGTTCATAATCCCATTTATTCAAGGAAATAGACGTGGGGCCATTAAGTAAACTAGCTTCAGGTCACACAAATCTGAAGTGAGCATAGCAGCATCAAGATACAGTTGCTTTCTGACCACTCAACTTTCTTTTTTTAAACTTCATTTAAAAAACCTTCAGTGCAATATTAAAAAGCAATACAGCCAGCTGGAGTGACAACCAACAGAAAGAGACTGTTAGGGAAGACTCAGGGACCCCACTCCAGCTGCTCCTAGGGCCCAGAGGCCAGGGGCAGACCCAACTGGGGAAGAGAGGAAAGACCACCCACCAAAATGAACAGGCAGAACAAAACATATAAGAGACATCTGTCTGTACTGAAGAGGGTCTAGGAGAGAGGGGAAGCCCCCATTTTTTCCCCCAAATGTCCTAGACTTGGGAGGGCTGGCCTCCTGGGGTGAAATGAGCAGGCCCTGTCCCACTCCACACTCCTCTGTGGTAGAGTACAGGATGTGCTGGGGGCCACATGTGTGTATGCTTGGGGAAACACAGGGAAGAGACGAGTAGGGAGGAATGCCCCTCACGGGAATCTTATGAGGGCTGAGAGTGACCCCCTCCAGTTCCTAGACTCTGGGGTCTTGGTAGATGGGGGTTGGAATGGGTTGGGGCAGCGGGGAGGCTGGGTGCTCAGCCTAGAAAGCCAGCAGGGTCATCA